GAATATTTAACGAGAAAAGTTCGTTAAGTGCTCCGTGATTAGGAAAACTTAATCAAGTAATCATTGTCGATGGAAATCAATATTTAGTATTCGTGTAAAAGCAGAAAAAATGTTAATGTTGTCGCTTAGCCGAGGTGACATTTAACATTTACCTACCTAGAATCAGTAATCAGACTGAATAGGTACTCTATTTTTTCTATGACCTAGTTTTAAGATAGAGTTTTTTTTTCTGGTCTTTAGGTTTGAAATTGATCTGTTTTTCCAGTAAGAGTTGTTTTTCCTCTCCCTAGTGAGAAACATTCATTTACATTTTAACACTTTTCGTGGAACAACATCGCACTTTTTGTCAATGGAAATGTTTTTTCGTTTTTCGTGGTTGTATTTAAAATCTTGGAATCAATAAAATGAATCATTAAGTATATTCTGACCTAAATAAAAGAATGTAAATCTCAATAATAAATACATTTAAAAAATCTTGAAAAGAAAAACAAATCGAGATGCTTTCCTCCAAGCTCGAATCAATTTTACGCGGATAAAAATTTAATGTACAGGAAAAGAATTTGGTCATAAAAAATAAATGTGACGGCTAGGCTACAAGTAGTTCTTTGGTCTCTCTTCTGATTCTGTTTCTGCATTAATTCATTCGTATCAAGTGTATGTAGAGTCAGTTTCAAACTGACACTTTTTATCTCTTTTTTTTGTTGTTTTTATAGGAGTTTCGAGTTGAATTATATTTCTTTCTCCACAATTTTAAATTTTAAATGTTTTTAGATTTAGAATTTAATATAGGGCGACAACCAAGAACGAAAATTATATTATTATAACGTCAAATTAGAGCGTGTTTTTTTTTAGATTTTTTTTACATTCATATTATGACCATCAATCGATTCTCCATCAACAAATAATTACCTACAATCTTTGTAAACAAAAGGTAAACTTCACTGTCTTTAAACACAAATAACTACAGTTAGGCAAACTGGGACATTATTTTATTATAGTTTGAGTTTTTTTTTGCTTAATTTTTATGGTATAAGTTTTGAAAATAGATTCTAATAATAATTCGTCGTATATTTTATCTAATAATTCATTTATTCAATTTGGTTAATCACATCTTTTTATATTTTATTGATATTCGTCTCTTTGAAGAGGGAAAATGGGGATAAAATGACAATATAAGTTTGTAATTTTTTACATTTTTGTGTTTTATTCGCTTCTGTATAAATGATAATAATCAATGTCTCAATATCAATATATAGATATTATATATAAAGATATTTCTTAAGATAGCTGTAAAAATTTACCATTTTAAAAGTGTTTTAAATTTCTTGTTGTGAAAAGAAAACTACGTATATTAAGAAAAAAATCAGGTTAAAATTGAGCCCCGCCCACCCACCTTAACTCAATTGTGATAATTCTTTTTAGTTCATCGTAATTCGGGGGCGGAGCTTAATTGCAAAATCCTTATTTTTCTACAAGAAACTACCATGTGAAATATGTTCTTAAACAATCGTGTTGTTCACTTAGATTGTAGATTTCCATATCCAGTAAGTTTTTCCAAAATCGCTAATTGAAATCTAGCAGTTTTTGAAGTTTTGTTAAAATACCAGTAGCTCGGTATAAAAACCTTTAATATATATATATTTCTCAAAATTCTTGTATGCTATTTTGGCGATTCAAAAATTCTATAAAATTTCATATTGAAAAACTGAGCTTTTGAAAAAATCGCCTAAAAATCTTCCAAAAATGCCGAAATATAGATCTCGACGAGGTAATTCGAAAAACATAGTCCGTTAACAATACCGAACTAAGATTTTCGAGGTATTAGTTTTTAAGTTGATATTTTTAACACATTAAAAAAATTGCCATATTTCATTTGGCAATTCCTAAAAAATAAATTCTAGAGGTCAAAACCTGGATTTTTTTTAAAATAATATTCAGCGGTGTTCGAAAAAATACAAAATCTAAAAATTAAGTAAAAATTGTGGAATGCAGCTTTTGACAAGATAATTCGAAAAAGATGAAGATCTTAAGCTATTCCTTTCCAAAGCCAAGTTTTTAAAAACTTCTAAAAATTATAATATTAAATTTTGCTAATTTCTAAAAAATAATGGAAATTTTCGAAGTTTTTGGCGGTTCTGAAAAAATGGTTGAAACTTAATAATAACTTTCCTCAAAATTTGTATACAGAGCTGTTTTGACGAAACTGTTAAAACTGCTATATCTCAATTAGCGATTTTCGAAAAACGGTAGGAATTTCCAAAGAAACGAAACCGAAAATGACTTCTGGATATCGTAATTTAAAAGAAAATGTCAAAAGTGCAAAAACAGCTTTATCTTACCAAATACTAGCCCCGCCCACCCGCCCTCCATTTTCTTAGAGTGTATGTTATCCGCCAAAATCAAATACAAGCACCGCCCACCCACCCTCTATTTTCTTAGAGGATATGATCTAAGGTTGTTCATAGAAAACTATCTGTATAAAGTAAAAAGAAAGCCAAAGATTAAGTCCCACCTATACCCAGCCCGATCTCAATTATGATGAATTTTTCATTCGTTGTTAGACCGGGTGAGGAGTGTACTTTCGAAATCCATATTTCCTTAAGAAATGTAAATTTTAAATATATTAAAAAAGGATAAAAATGAGCCCCGCTCACCCGCCCTAACTCAATTGTGATGATTTTTTTTTATTTGGTGTAATCTGGGGCGGAGTTTAATTGCAAAATCCTTATTTTTCTACAAGAAACTATCATGTGAAACATGTTCTTAAATAATCGTGTTATTCAAAGAGAACTAAGTAAATGTATTAAATAAAAAAGAAAGCCAAAGATTAAATCCCACCCATATCCGCCCCTTATCTCAATTAGTCAATTGTGATGAATTTATCATTCGTTGTCAGACCCAGGGCGGAGCGTAATTGCAAAATCCGGTCGTATCCTAACTGCGGTGCAAATTTTGCTTAAATATCAGGTACCTGGATACTTCTAACCGAATTGCGGTTCGTTCTCGAACTGTAGGGGTTCAAGGGGTTCTAGCATTGTTCTTAAAGAATTGGAATAAATTCGCAGAAGAGTAGAAACATCATTTAGTGCTTTAAATTTAAAATTTGAAGCAAACAAAATATTTTTTAGACTCAAAGAATAAAGTGAACTTGTTACATAAAAACGAAAAAACCGTATATTGAAAAAGATCTCGTTTATAAACTGATATTAAACAATTTTAGAAATTATATGTTTCAATGAGTATGTATGTATGTGATAACCGGTTCGTTTTTCATACATAACATGATCCAAAAGTAATCAAAGTCGATTTACTGAATTTTCATTAAGTTTTCATAATTTTGAATATTAAATAAAGTGTCCATCATTTAGGTACCTGATTAAAGCGAGACAGCTTAACCCCTAACTAAGAATTTTACCGCAGTTCGGTTGCGAATTAAACATGCAGCGCAATTCGGACATGCCGCAAAACCCATATTTTCCTAGAAAAATTTACCATTTTAAAAATGTTTAAAATTTGTTGCTGTGAAAAGAAGACTACGTATATTAACTAATATTAAGAAAATACTACAAATGTATATTAAGAAAAAATTAAAGCCAAAGATTAAGCCCCACCCATACCTGCCCTGATCTAAATAGTAATGAAGTTTTCATTCGTTGGTGGATCTTCGGGGTGGAGCCTAATTGCAAAATCCACATTTTCTTACAAAAATTTACCATTTTAAACGTGGTTTAAGTTTTTAAGAATAAAAAAAATCATCACAATTTAGATGGGGTAGGTGGTCGGGGTTTATATTTTGCCTTTTTTTCTTAATATAGTATTCTTTGAACAACACGATACTCAAAAACATGTTTTTAATTTCTCGTAAAGAAAAAAGTATTTGGCAGTTAAGCTCCGCCCCCTCGGTTCACAGCGAATAAAAAAATCATCACAATTGAGATAGGGCGGGTGGGCGGGCTTACATTTTGTCTTTCTGTTTTAATATGTGTACATTAAATTTACAATTTTAAAAACTGTTTCAAATTTCCTGTTGTGAAAATTTGAAGACTACGTATATTAACTAATATTAAGAAAAAAAAAACAAGTTATAAATAACACTGACATGGCGGGAAATTCAAATCCTCGATGTTTCTTTTAATAGGAGAAACAAGGACAAAATAACAATATAAGTGACCATCCATTTTTTTTTAACATATAACGACATGTATTACAAAACAAAATGTTATTAATGTGAATAAAATCAAATTGCAAAGTAAATGATTTTTAGTGTAAGTTCATACTGTTGTTTTCAGACTCCAGATCTTTTTTGTCACTTTTGTTAACCGTTTGACTGCAGTAACAACAAAAATTAACCCATTAGTTGCATCATCATCACGTTAATCACGTGAGCAGAGCGAAGTGATAACAAAAGCAGCCATTCTTTTCGAAAAAGTCGGGGCATAATACGTACGTGAAATAAGATCTCGGACTAAAATCCGGGATTTTACCCGACGTGCGAACAATAGAGAATTTGCTCTTAAAGAGAATCAGATCCACTCAGGTATCTGGGGCTTATTTTCGCTTAAAATACGAGCCAAAGAGAAATCGAGGGGACAAAACCTAGAGTTCTATTTGCAAAGGAGCTCGTTATTGAATCAATATCGATCCGGAGGCACGAATGTCTCAACAAATAGCTATTGACATCCCAGTGGACTGAACTTTCATGTCAACACTGAATTGGCAGTGGTAAACAGGCAAATGTTAAACTCGGTCTAATCAATGAAATAAGAAACACTAAACACATTCTACAAGTGGTTATATTATTATTAGAAGACATCTATTATTTTTTTTAAGAATTTGTTATGTAACTTATTACGATTTTACTACCACTTTAACTAATAACTTTTTTCGTTTTATTATAAATTCAGCGGAGTATCTCAAGGATTCATCCAAAGTTACGCATTATTTATAGTATTTATCAATGATCGTGGTATATGTTTTTTCATGGATGGTGTTCCTTTCAGAGGGAATGCATTTCCGTCCACATCGGCCAGGCCGGCGTCCAGATCGGCAACGCCTGCTGGGAGCTGTACTGCCTTGAGCACGGCATCCAGCCCGATGGGCAGATGCCGTCGGACAAGACAATCGGCGGCGGCGACGACTCTTTCAACACTTTTTTCAGTGAAACCGGAGCCGGCAAACACGTGCCACGCGCCGTCTTCGTTGACTTGGAACCCACCGTTGTAGGTATGTGCCATGTAACATGAGTTAGATAATTAACGCAGTTCAACCCCGCTGAATCACGTAATGGTAAGGGAAGTGCGTATTATGTCACCATGTCCGTTCCGTGTTTCCTGTAATTTTATACCCGTTAGGGAGTGTACTTTCATTAAGATAGTGAAAGTGGGAAAGGGCGCTTTTTGCACCGTCATTGTGCGATGGGCAGATTTGATGGTTTTGGATTCTACCACAGATACAAAAAACAGAAGTTGAAACCACAGCTGAAGGATTAGCGTCGTTTGACACCCACCATTTATAGGGAACTCGGTGCGGATTTGTTAATACGTAATATGAAACGAAAATGGGTCTGGGCAAAACAATTATTACACAGAAATATTTGCATCGCGTGATCGTTTTTATACTATTAACAATAAGCAGAAGCATGTAACATTTTGTTAATAATGGAGTAAACGTATACCGGCTATTCATCAAGTACACGGAGGTTGTTCGATGAATAGATTGATCAATTAAGTGACTGAAAATTAAAAAAATTTGACGTACGGGCACGATTTTTCGTGAAAAAATAATTGGATAGACTGACTTTTACAGTTTCTTATACGCATGTAACGTTTCGAAGAATCTTGCATCACGTGTGGACGACTTTGTGAGAAAGTACTTTACAGTGTTGTAATTTCAAGATCGTGCTGCCGTCAGAAAGCGTAATTGTATCAGTAGTCGTAAGATTTCGCTAATAGAGATGTTTTTTGCATACATTTACGTACAATAATTTAGATAGAACCTGTTCAGAATATAAAACAAATAAAACCACAAACAGTACTTAACTGAAAATTTTAAATCACAAACTTGAAAGTGGGATTTATAAACTTGCTGTTGACGTTGCTATTCCCGCTAACGTTGCTTTTAGAGCTGAAAATTGTCATTTGTAAACTCCGTTGTCAAGTTGTCGTTGATAAACACTTTGATCTTCAACTTTTGCCGCATTTAGAGGGATTGTAGCAAAAAAGTGGAGGATTTAAGTCGATTACTACAAAAATTTACCATTTTAGACATATTTTAAGTTTCCTGTTGTCGAAATAAATCTACAAATATTATTAAAAAAAGGCAAAATATAGACCCACCCACCCGCTCTATCTAAATTATGATGATTTTTTTTTATTCGTTGTGACCCAAGGGGGCGGAGCTTAACTGCAAAATCCTTATTTTTCTACAAGCAATTAAAAACATGGTTTTGAGTATCGTATTGTTCAAAGAATACTTTACATATTAAGAAAAAAAAAAAAAAACCCACCCATACCCGCCCTTATCTCAATTCTCAATTGTGATGAATTTTTCATTTATTGTCAGATCGAGCGGCGGGGCTTAATTGCAAGATCCATATTTGTCTAGAAGGATTTACCATTTTAAACATGTTTTATTAAGTTTCTTGTTATGAAAAGACGACTACGTACACAAAAAAAGGCAAAATATAAGCGCCGCTCACCCACCCTATCTCAGTTATAATGATTGTTTTTTAATCGTCGAGAACCAAAGGAGCGGAATTTAATTCCAAAATTCTTATTATTTCTCTACAGGAAATTACCATGCCGGACATGTTTTTGAGTATCGTGTTATTCAAAGAATACTACATATGTATATTAAGAAAAAATTAAAGCCAAAGATTAAGAGCCCCACCCATACCTGCCCTGATCTAAATAGTAATGAAGTTTTCATTCGTTGGCCGACCTAGGGCGGAGCCTATATGAAAAATCCATACTTCCTTAGAAAAATTTACCATTTTAAACGTGTTTTAAATTTCTAAGAATAAAAAAAATCATCACAATTGCAAAGGGGTGGGTGGGCGGGGTTTATATTCTGTTTTAGTTTTTTCTTAATGTACATAGTATTCTTTGAACAACACGATACTTAAAAACATGTTTTTAATTTCTTGCAAAGAAATAAGTATTCTGCAGTTAAGCTGCGCCCCCTTGGTTCATTTTGCCTTAATTTTTATTTTAATATGTGTAGACTTCTTTTCTCAACATGAAACTTAAAAACATATTTAAAACGAAAAATTTGTATAAGGAAATACCGATTTTGCAATTAAGCTACGCCCCATAATTGTAAAATCCACACTTTCTTGCAAAAATATACTATTTTTGACTATGTTTTAAATTTGTTGTTGTGAAAAGATGGCTATGTATATTAAGAAAAAAAAAGCAAAATACGAGCCCAACCATGGTAGAAGGAGACATGGTATAGGCATACGCATCGGGTGTGACGTCAAATGGGGTGAAATTAGCGCGAAATTTAAAATACAAAGTTTCGTTATCCGACAACTAATTGACGTATTGGACAGAGCAATGACAACTCAAGCTGAAATTCCCTAGACTTCCCTAGCGAAGCTCACAAGAGTCACAAGGTCGTTGATGCCACCTAACGTCACAAATGGATGCGCAGGCCGTTTTTAAATTGGTACATCGGATGCCTATACCATGTCTCCTTCTACCATGAGCCCCACCCACCCGCCCTATCTCAATTCCGATGATATTTTTTATTCGTTATAAGCCGAGGGGCGGAGCTTAATTCTAAAATCCTTATTTTTGTACGTGAAATTACTATGGGAAATATGTTCTTAAGTAATCGTGTTATAAAAAGAAAACTAAATGTATTAATTAAAAAAGAAAATCAAAAGGGAGGCCCCACCCATCTGTCTCGATCTCAATCGTGATGAATTTTTCATTCGTTGTCAGACCGAGGGGCGGAGCCTAATTAACAAAATCAATATTTCCCCATACAAATTTACCCTCATAAACCATGGTAGAAGGAGACATGGTATAGGCATCCGATGTACCAATTTAAAAATGGTCTGCGCATCCATTTGTGACGTTAGGTGGCATCAACGACCTTGTGACTCTTGTGAGCTTCGCCTGTGGCTTCGCTAGGGAAGTCTAGGGAATTTCAGCTTGAGTTGTCATTGCTCTGTCCAATACGTCAATTAGTTGTCGGATAACGAATTGTATTTTAAATTTCGCACTAATTTCACTCCACTTGCCGTCACACCCGATGCGTATGCCTATACCATGTCTCCTTCTACCATGCTCATAAACATGTTTTAAGTTTCTTGTTGTGAAAAGATAACTACACATATTAAGAAAAAAAGGCAAAATGTAGCTCCCCCCGTTTTATCTTAATTGTGATGATTTTTTTTTGACATGAGCCAAGGCGTGATTGCCGGTTCTGGGGACCCGAACCGGCAATCACGCCTTCGGTCGCCCTCTCGAACGAACTCGTAAAGCAATATACCCAGAGACGCCATGAGCAGATATGGGTGAAGTTGAGCAGCTGTCGGCATAGTAGAGCTTGTATGGCGACACCAGACCGTAAGTTGACGAAATTTTATCTCTCACTTTCAAGGGACAAACTGCGTAAACTGGTAGGATTCCTTACGGGACATTACCAGTTTAACAAACATCTATATACGATAGGGGTGGTAACAGACCCAATCTGTCGTGGATGCAATGAAGAAGAGGAAACAGCTGAGCACATTCTTCGTGAGTGTCCAGCCCTAGCCTCCTACAGGGAATCCATACTAGGGGACATCTGGCCTAGTATGGCAAATATCAGGGAGTTTCCACCCTCTGCATTACTCAAGTACATTCAAGCAGTTGGGTGGCTTGACGAGTAGAGGAGCGGGAAAACACCCTGATATGGACTTGGGGAAGGTACAATGGGCCCAAAGGCGAGGCCTAAGTGCCGGCTGGCCACGGTCAGCCCCCATAAATTAAGAATCCAGAATCCAGAATCCAGACATGAGCCACAGGGGTGGAGCTTAATTACAAAGTCCTTATTTCTCTACGAGAAATTTCAAACATGTTTTTGAGTAACGTGTTATTCAAAGAATACTATTTATGACAAGAAAAAAATAAAGCCAAAGATTAGGCCCCACCCATACCCGCCCCGATCTCAATTCTCAATTGTGATGGATTTTTCATTCATTGTCCGATCAAGGGGCGGGGCTTAATTGCAAGATCCATATTCGCCTACAAGAATTTACCATTTTACACGTGTTTTAAGTTTCTAAGAATAAAAAAATCATCACAATTGAGATGGGGTGGGTGGGCGGGGTTAACATCTTGCCTTTTTTGTTTTTCTTAATATACGTAGTATACTTTGTAAAACACAATACTCAAAAACATGTTTTTAATTTCTTGTAAAGAAATAATCATTTTGCAGTTAAGCTCCGCCCCCTTGGTTCACTGCGAATAAAAAAAATCACACAATTGAGATAGGGCGGGTGGGTGGGCTTACGTTTTGCCTTTTTGTTTTAATATGTGTAGATTTCTTTTCACAACATGAAACTTAAAACATGTTTAAAATGGAAAATTTGTATAAGGTGCAATTAGGTTCGGCCCCATAATTGCAAAATCCATATTTCCCTGCAAAAATGTACCATTTTAACCATGTTCTAAGTTTCTCGTTGTGAAAAGATGGCTATGTATACAGCGTGTTATTGAAAAGTACGTACAAAATAAAATTGGCAATTCGTTTTGAAGTATGGGTGCTAAAATTAAAAAAAAGTTCAGGTAAATGTGTTCTCCTTTCAGAGATAAAAGTTATTAAAATTTATGTCCAAATTCGTTGTACGCCTCTGATAAAAAGGTCATCTTTCGTTTCTATATCAACAAAAGGGTCCCTTATTTTTTTTATTATTGTTACAGTTGCTAGGATTTATTAAAATAAATAAATTTTACCTATTTATCCTTCAGTAGCGTCTAAAAAGGTTGGATAGGGGTTAATTTTCCCCTTATAATTTTGATAACACAAATTAAGTTTTTCGGGCTTCTTAGACTTCGCGAAGAACTGTCAATTTTGTTGTACGTACCTTTCAATAACACCCTGGGGGCAAAATATAAGCCCCACCCACGCGCCCTATCTCAATTCTGATGATTTTTTTTATTCGTCGTAAACCTACAAAAATTTACCATTTTAAGCATGTTTCTTTTTGTGAAAAGAAGACTACACATATTAAGAAAAAAGGGTAAAAGGTAAGGTAAAAGTCCCTATAGGTAATAACTTAAGCAGATCCCTTAAAATGAAAGCCCGTAAAAAATTCATTTCTACTCTTTTTTACCGAATTTGATATGTGGGTCTATTATCAAATGACTCATTTTTGCAAAAGTTATTTTTTTTAAGTAAATATATGATCATTTGAATGAGAAATATTAAATCAAAGTTAAAATAATGAATTGTACTAGTAGATGATATACCGAAAATTGTTCTGCACCAGTAAATGATTGGTCTTGTCGTAGTAGATGATAATTCGAATTTCAGTCTATTAATTACCAAAACTTTTAACAATATTGCAATTAAAACATATCAACTTGATTAAACAAAAACATATTTAAAATAAATAATAGTTTAAAAAACTAAAAAAACACGCTTTTATTGCTAATCGAACTAAAAACTAGAAAATAATTTTTTCTACCGCCCACGTTTTTTGGTTTTCTAATAGAGCTATTAACGCACGCAAATGACGTCACAACAGTTCGTTAATAGCCGAAAGGCGTTCTTTAATAGATCTGGTGTAATTTAGATCGGTAAGATTGGTAGCAATGACGAGAAATGTCAGGTGAATGTCAGTGGCAAATCTAAACTTAAAATTTCTCATGTTTCCGGACGCGTAACTTCTTCGCAAGACATTTTAACCAATTTTAAATTACAAAAACTCGAATTGGTTCGAATTACAATTGTTGTTGTGAAAATTAGAACCTCAAATATTTCGTGGTTAGTGTCAGACCGACCCATCACCAACCACGACAAAAGTCCCCAGATTAAAAAAAATGCAAATTTCAATTAAATTTTGGGAAAAAACGTGTGCGGTAGAAAAAATAGTATAAATAACTCGTTCATAAGGCCATTGAGGCACTCATCCTTTATATAACTCGCGGCTTCGCCGCTCGTTCTATAAACTTGGATTCGTGCCTCAATATTTGCCTTATGAAACTCGTTCTTTAATATACTATTTCTACCGCCCACGTTTTTTGGTTTTCTAATAGAGCTATTAACGCACGCAAATGACGTCACAGCAGTTCGTTAATAGCGGAAAGGCGTTCTCTAATAGATCTGGTGTAATTTAGATCGGTAAGATTGGTAGCAATGACGAGAAATGTCAGGTGAATGTCAGTGGCAAATCTAAACTTAAAATTTCCCACGTTTCCGGACGCGTAACTTCTTCGCAAGACATTTTAACCAATTTTAAATTACGAAAACTCGAATTGATTCGAATTACAATTGTTGTTGTGAAAATTCGAACCTCAAATATTTCGTGGTTAGTGTCAGACCAATCCATCACCAACCACGACAAAAGTCCCCAGATTAAAAAAAGTGCAAATTTTAATTAAATTTTGGGAAAAAACGTGTGCGGTAGAAAAAATAGTATAAATAACTCGTTCATAAGGCCATTGAGGCACTCATCCTTTATATAACTCGCGGCTTCGCCGCTCGTTCTATAAACTTGGATTCGTGCCTCAATATTTGCCTTATGAAACTCGTTCTTTAATATACTATTATGGCATCCGACCACTGACACTGATCTTTTGATCAACTATGTTCAAAATCATTCCTCTGGTAGGGTCATTTGTTGACCTTTTGTCGTTTCTTTAAAGTATTTGCTTCTTTTTGTTGTTGCTTTTCTACGTGTAAGCTCTTTCGTTCTAGTTTTTTTTTTATCTTTTTTTTTCCGATGATACATCTGCCAGTCGGAAGAACTCGCCACAGAAGGAATTTTTTCTTTGGGTAATATCTTTTTTCCTTTCTGTTTTTCTTTTCCGGAGTTTTTGGCCACACCAGAACCTTTTTGAAAGGCTATGGAACATAAGTCAATGTTTTGTCATTTTATAGGGAAGAATAAATTTAATACACCTATTTACGAAATATTTTGTCATTCTGTTTTTCAGGAGTTATTGGAAGAACTTGAATATTTTGATTTTCACGTTCTGTTGTCTCACTCTCTATAAAGTCGCTGTGATTTCTTCAACATCTTCATCAAAATTTTGAGCGTTCTCATTAAGATTACTCTTTTCAGAACTGGAATTTTGAAATCATCATCAACTCGTATAATGCGTTAATCCTCAATGACCCATTAAATGGTACTTGTTATCAACCACTGATACATTAAGTACTGCAAGAGTACCAGTAGATGAATTGCAGTTTTATGGATTATAACCTAATTCTATTGAGAATTAATATATTTCAAATGATTTTTCAAACATACAACGACATGCTAGGAGTACTAACATTAATTTGACTAACGCTTAAAGCCAAATAATAAAATTATTTTAGTACTCACTTGCTTAGCGATCTACGTAAGAAAAGCTGAGAAATTGAGCTGGAAAGTGACTTCAGATTTTTATTAACACTGTTATTTACCAATACCTCATTGTACAAAAGTGCAGTAAATGCAGATTTCATACAGACATCTTCAAGATATTATTTCTATAAAGATTTTACGGATTTCTGCTGTACAGTTCTTATTTTACAATTATTTTTACACGTTTGATCATCCACTGGGACCCTATCACTGACTTTTACCTTAAGCCCTTGTAGTTACAACAATACCTAATCTATTTTTGAGCGGAATAGCAATAAATCTTGTGTGACTGAAACGTCAAGAATTATCTTTAACAATGTTTAAGCACTAATAGAAAGCTACAGTGTAAAAAATGGTTGCAGTTATGTAAAATATGAGGGTTTCGGTGAACAGGTGATTAAATGGCTTAATATTAGTGGACCTCATTATCTCTATCAAAATTTGATTTTCGTGGAATTAGTGGTGTCAACCAGAAAATGTTGATTAGTTGAAAACCCAACGTCAACGGCAACGTAACGGCGAAAGATAAAAATTGATAATCTCGAACGTCATCCCAACGGCATGCCAACTTCCAACAGCAACGTCAATGGATGATATAAACGACGCGTACCTTTGCTTCATATTATCTTTCAGCGGCAACGTCAACGGCGAACAGCAACGTCAACGGCAAGTTTATAAATCGACCTGAACACGTTGCAGTATTAAGATGCGTCCTGTTTATGATATTACAATAATTTTCCAAGTGTTTTATTTAAATTACGAAGGCACTTATTTTATAGTGACTAAATAAAGGATGAGTGTGGGCGGCCCTTGATAAAACTATTTTATGTTTTCTGGCATACTCAACGCTTGACGATTACTAATGTGACTGAGCTTATCTACAACTTGATACAAAGCTCTGTCTATTAGCCGTTAATATCTTGTAATAAATTACCACTATCTCAAGGAACAATTTTTCACATGATTAATGTTACCAACAATCGCAATATATCAACATATTGTTTGTATTTTTATTGAAAACATACACTTTCACCATTGTTCGGATTTATCGATATTTTTCAAACATTAGTCATTATCTACAACAGCAGAAATAAATAAATAATGAATTATATCGTGTGTACAAATTTAGCTAGAAATCAGTTTTCCAAAAAGGAGTCCATCGACCAGAAAATGTCCACAAATTTTGTCATAATTTAACCCTACACGTTTACGAAATACATGCCAATGTATTTTGCAACCCAGTAGAAAATACAACGTCATAGTGCAAAACCACTATTCATGGCCGCTTTTGTCAAAAAACTATTTAGCACTTCACATCCGTGTCGGACAATAGCCCACAAAGTGTGCCGCATCATAATAACGAAGTAATGATCCATAATTATAGAATCCATTGGCATTAATAAAATAACTAACTACACGGTAGCAAAAAGCTCTTCCTTTCACGATACGTCCAAAGCACCGCCCACTCTCCTTTATTTGTTAGTCAAACTATAGATTTAGCAGTTCTGTGACCCGTTGACGCTGAATGCACATTGAGTTTGTTGCAAGTTTTTTGCAAATTTTCGTGGAACCTGTCATTATTGTACGGTTAATGTAGGCCAATGCCTTTAATCCTCGAAGTGCATTTTACGGTCCATAACTCAGAAGATAATTGCATTTGGATACCGGCGGCAATAAATCAGTTGGAGGCCTGAAAATTGATACTGCGGAGAGTCAAGTGTACATTTTTGTGGTCATTATACGTTACAGTTGTTACCTTATTATCCAGTCATAAATTGATGAGGAACTGTTTTGATTTTATTTTTTGTGCTTTTGTACAGATGAAGTAAGAACTGGTACATACCGACAACTCTTTCATCCGGAACAATTAATAACGGGGAAAGAAGATGCCGCTAATAACTACGCCCGTGGGCATTACACCATCGGCAAGGAAATTGTGGACGTCGTTTTGGATCGCATACGTAAATTGGCGGATCAATGTACCGGATTGCAGGTAACGGATAAGTTCAGTAAAAGCTGTGTCAACTTTGTGTAACCAACACTGCAGTTTACGTTGGGCATACATATATGTAATAATACTGCAATACAGGTTAGATTAAGTTGTGCTCTAATGCCATTTAGCCAGTTAAATATGTAAAAATAATGAAATTGAGAACAGGACGCTTTTAGATGAATTGCATACTTCCTTTCACACCATTTTTTTTATATCGTTGTTACACACTAACTAAAGTCATCATAGATCATTAAACGGAATTATGCTTTTATAATTTGATATATAGATTGTGGTCCAATGTTTACAAAAACAGCCGTTATGTGTTATGGTTTGATTTTAATAATAATACTTTATTTACGGCTAAGCCAATATTACAAAATTGTATTTACATGTTGAGGACAGTTTTTACATTACATTTAAAACGTTTACAAGACACATTAAAAAATTCAATGTCGTGTCGGTGCTTATTGGCTAGGTTACAAAGTCGAGGTAACACAGTATTTTTACCATAGTCAGTACGATGGTGCGGAACGCTAAAAAGAATAGGATCACGAACATCACGGGATGGCACATGCAGATGAATCATGGACAAAATATTCGGACAATTGCAAAGATTATTTAGTATTTTAAATAGAAAACAGATATCAAAATAATTTCGTCGTGTATGTAAAGAAGGTAAACCTAGATATAGAAGAAGATCTGTATAGTTACTGGCTTTATAATGGATATTTAATTTAAAACATAGAAATCTAATAAAACGTTTTTGGATTTTTTCCAATCTCAGGGCATTTGTTTCACGATATGGACACCATATCACAGTGCAATATTCCAATATAGATCTTACAAGTGAGCAATATAGTGTGACAAATGTCCTGAGATTGTTAAAAGCACTGCACTGTCTCAGGACAAAACCTAATGTTTTATTTCCTTTATTTATAATATTATTTAAATGTATCTTGAAATCAAGGTTTGCAGCAAAGGTAACCCCTAAGTCATTAATTGACTCTACAACACTAAGCTCATCAGAGTTAATATAATAGGAAGGGACAGTTTTTACACGTTTCATAGAAAATCTGATTACCTTGCATTTAGATACATTAAGTTGTAAGTCGTTGGAATTACACCAATTTACAAACTTAGTCAAATTACTCTGTAGTAATACAGAATCTTCGGGGTCGTGAATTCTATAAAAAAGTTTCAAATCGTCAGCGAAGAGTAAAAATCTGCATCCCGAAAAAGCAGAGCTAACGTCATTTATAAATAAGAGGAATAGTAATGGTCCCATATGGGACCCCTGTGGAACACCTGATGTGACTTTAATCGGCCGCGATCGGCAATCTGCGATTTTAACCCTTTGAAGTCGACTCGTAAGATATGAGTTTATCCAGTCTAAGAAAGGACTGCCAAATCCTAAAGAATTAAGTTTAGCAATAAGTTTATCAATATTTACACAATCAAAAGCTTTTTTAATATCCGTATGGATACAGTCAACGATATGTCCACTTTCGATATTATTAAACAAATAATGGGAGAACTCAGTCAAATTGGTGTTTGTAGATTTGCCTACTATAAAACCATGTTGCTCTTCAATAATTACATTTTTGATATTAACTTCAAGATATCATAATAATGACTGGACAGAGTCCATGTAAAATTTTTACATAAATGGGTTTGAAAACAAGTGATCTGCAGATTTTATTTAGATACTCAATAAAAAGATTACGCATTCCCGGTGACAGATTGAAAAAGTTACTAGAACTTATACCGAGCTGCAGTTGAAATTATTTTCAAAAAATATAGGGTGTTTCATGTGAAAATTATACACAGCAATTTTTACCTATTAAAATTTCCTTGTTAAAAGGGAGAAAAATAATACAGTCAAGCATAAAAGTTTTGTACAATAATTTTCAAGATATTTACATTTTTATGTAAAAAACGATCATATTAAAAAAAAAAAAATTGTCCAAGGTGTTAGTTTTGTTAATTTCCAGTTCTTTCTCATTATTCAAATGACACTTCCTGTATTTTAAAACATTTTCGAATTCTTTTGATTCCAGATTTTTTTGAGTTCATTCTAACAATTTTTTTAGTTATCCACTAGTTCGAAATTTAATCTCCCTGTATAAACAAATCAACCTTGCTCAAGTTTTATGCCTCTATTAAGGCAAGGTAACCACAAAGTTTTATGCCAAATTACAAAATTTCGTGTTCAAAAATTACGTAGTAGTGAGTTTTTAAATATTTTTTCATTTTTTATAAATAAATATAAATCTGCAAAAATACTAAGTGCTCCACTTAATAAAATATAACTAAGATGTACATAACTCTTATTAAATGGAATAACTTGTATACTTGATCGATTAAAAATAAAATAAACACCGAAGTTTTTTAATAATTGTAATCACAATTTAATGTTGATGCAATTTAAAAATATATACAGGGTGAGCCACTAAGCGCTCGGTGCTCTCAAAAAATGTAAAAGAAAATGTCTTCAACTAATTTTCCAATTGAAAAATGGTCGAAAATGTCAAAACTTCCAAATCAGTCTTACCTTCAAATGCTAGCCCCGCCCACCCACCCCCTCTATTTTCTTGAAAGGTATGTCATTTGCCAAATCAGTCTTATCTTAGCCAGTACTAGCTCCGCCCACCCCGCCTCTTCTCATTCTAACGACTAATTTTGTTTCTATTCAGTATAAGATCATTCATTGCATTCGATTGGATAAAATCAATCACTGAAAAGGAGACAGGGTGGGTGGGCGGGGATAATTATATGTTCTTCTGTCGAGTTGGAGTGGAATCTAATAGTGAAATAATGGAACAAGAATTAATAATAATTTTCTTTTATAACCACAAAATTTTTGTAGAGAGCTATTTTGATGAAACTAAAAATTGCTGTATTTCAATTGGCGATTTTAGAAAGACGGTAGAAATTTCCGAAGAAACGAAGTCGGAAATGACTTCTGGACATCGAAATCTACAAGAAAATGTCTTCAACTAATTTAGTTGAAAATGGCAGAAAATGTCAAAAGTGCCAAAATCAGTCCTATCGTATCAAATACTAGTCCCGCCCACCCACCCTCTATTTTTTTTTAGAAGGTGTCATTTGCCAAAATCAGTCTTACGTTATCAAATACTAGCCCCGCCCACCCGCCCCCTCTCTTTTCTTGAATGGTATGTTATTTGCCAAAATCAGTCTTATCTTAGCAAGTACTAGCCCCACCCACACACCCTCTATTTTTTTAGAAAGTGTCATTTGCCAAAATCAGTCTTACGTTATCAAATACTAGCCCCGCCCACCCACCCCGTCTATTTTCTTGAAAGGTATGTCGTTTGCCAAAATCACTCTTATCTTAGCAAGTACTAGCTCCGCCCACCCCGCCTCTTCTCATTCTAACGACTAATTTTGTTTCTGTTCAGTACAAGATCATTCATTTCATTCAGATCGGATAAAATCAATCACTGAAAAGGAGACAGGGTGGGCGGGCGGGCATAATTATGTTCTTCTGTCGAGTTGGAGTGGAATCTAATAATGGAATAATGGAACAAAAATTAATAATAATTTTCTTTTTTATCCACAAAATTTTTATAGAGAGCTATTTTGACGAAAATAAAAATTGCTGTATTTTAATTGGCGATTTTAGAAAAACGCTAGAAATTTCCGAAGAAATGAAGTCGGAAATGACTTCTGGATATCGAAAACTACAAGAAAATGAACTAATTTTCGAATATAGTTGAAAAATGGCAGAAAATGTCAAAAGTGCCAAAATCAGTCCTATCTTATCAAATACTAGCCCCGCCCACCCACCCTCTATTTTTTTAGAAGGTGTCATTTGCCAAAATCAGTCTTACATTATCAAATACTAACCCTGCCCACCCACCCCCTCTCTTTTCTTGAAAGGTATGTTCTTTGCCAAAATCAGTCTTGTCTTAGCAAGTACTAGGCCCGCCCACCCACCCTCTATTTTTTTAGAAAATGTCATTTGGCAAAATCAGTCTTACATTATCAAATACTAGCCCCGCCCACCCACCCCGTCTATTTTCTTGAAAGGTATGTCATTTGCCAAAATCAAACTTATCTTAGCAAGTACTAGCCCCGCCCACCCCGCGTCTTCTCATTATAACGACTCATTTTGTTTCTGTTCAGTATAAAATCATTCATTTCATTCAGATTGAAAAAAATCAATCACTGAAAAGGAGACAGGGTGGGTGGGCGGGGATAATTATATTCTTCTATCGAGTTGAAGTGGAATCTAATAATCGAATAATGGAACAAAATTTAATAACAATTTCATTAATTTCCTTTTCGATTTTTCAATTTCTCAAGTTTTAATTTTTCGTTTCTTCAATTTTTCAAATTCCTCATTTCCCGATTTTTTAATTTTATGTTTCTAGATTTTATATTACATTCACATTTTATATATACTAAGTGCAAAAAAAATCCGAACATCTTGAAAACGTCAATATTTTTAAATGAAATTTTATACACACATTGGTTGTTGTATAAGTAAGAAATGATGAACATATGAAGACAATTGAAGAACTTTTACGTCATTTTAATTTTTATTGTCCTGATTTGAGGTCTAGCAAGATGGGGCTGTTCTGTAAAATTTTGACGTTTTTCGGTATTCGATTTCGACAATTTAAATTCCTTCAAAAGCCGTTAACATGCCCCCAGTGCGAAGACGTCTTCAGTATTCACAATTAGGTGATTTTGTTAAGGGTCGAATAATAGGCATGCATGAAGCAATATTGTCCTTTAGAAAAATTGCACTTCGTGTTAACAGAGTTGTGTCTACAGTGACGGAATGTTGGTAGGCGTGAAGTCAAGACGGTAGAAGACACAGAGCTACAGGATCCGGGCGACCAAGAGCTACCACTGGGCGCCAAGACCATCGTCTGCGTTTGTTAGCTCTAAGAAACCGAAAGTCTACAACTCGGGCAATTGCCAACGAATGGTTTGCTGATGTTGTTAGACCTATAAACATGCGTTCCGTATAC